GTTTATGGATGTTAACAAACCCTGGGAAGAGTAATCGCTGCCAAGCTATTTCTAGTTTGCTTTGTGTTGTTAAATTGTAACATACATGATTGTAAGTTTGTAAGATAGTATTTGAAGAAAAAAAATAGTCCCGCTGGGTTTCTTGCTGGTTCTTGCCAGGTCAGAAGTCTTTTTTGCGAATAAAAAAGTTTCTGTTTAATTTTCAGCACCGACTTCCAACTGTAAAATTATTTAATTCTTTTGATTTTTCGAGTCAGCTTTTCTTTTTAGTTAAGTTATTTTTATAAAAATTAATTTTTTATGTAAATTTCGGAATAATCACGATCGTAATTTCGTTAATGTAGTCAGGTAGGTACAGTCCTTGCGATTTGCATGAATATGACTATAGGCATAGAGTAATGAATTAATATCACAGAACACTTATACCCTTAGGCGGGATTAATATTGAACAAATTTACAAATTTTTTGTGTTCTTTCAGTGGAAATTACCGGGGCTGTAATAAAATATACGATATGTATATGTATGGAGGTAGAGGGCATAAAGTCAGTGGTCAGGCTGTAATTTGATATAAGGTAACAAATAAGAAGTACCAAATAATTAGGTATTTCAGCGACGTAATATAAGCCAGGGCTGTCACAATCTAGAAAAAAATATAATCACATAAGATAACTTAGCTTGAATCACAATTTATTTAGATTAATTGCTTAGTACGAAAATAAAAATCGAACTTCTTAAAACAATGTCTTGCTTCAATAAGTGTACATAGTACTCGTAAAACATTAAAATAAAATAATTATTTTTTCATATTGCATTCTCGCCACAAGCATGATTTAAAATTAGGAGTTGTTACTAATTTATCAGTCTGCGTCTAAAACTTACCTACAAGAGCGTTGTTGCGGTTGTTCTATATCTATGGCAAAGATGTTTTATAGGTACAGATACCGTGTTGCTAACACTTCGCACCGTTCACGGTGACGCCAGTCTTTGATTCATGTGTGCGTGAGTACCACGTGACGCGCATATCTTACGTTTTATAGGTACAGATACCGTGTTGCTAACACTTCGCACCGTTCACGGTGACGCCAGTCTTTGATTCATGTGTGCGTGAGTACCACGTGACGCGCATATCTTACGTTTTATAGGTACAGATACCGTGTTGCTAACACTTCGCACCGTTCACGGCGACGCCAGTCTTTGATTCATGTGTGCGTGAGTACCACGTGACGCGCATATCTTACGTTTTATAGGTACAGATACCGTGTTGCTAACACTTCGCACCGTTCACGGTGACGCCAGTCTTTGATTCATGTGTGCGTGAGTACCACGTGACGCGCATATCTTACGTTTTATAGGTACAGATACCGTGTTGCTAACACTTCGCACCGTTCACGGTGACGCTAGTCTTTGATTCATGTGTGCGTGAGTACCACGTGACGCGCATATCTTACGTACCATGCCTGCATTAGTGTGCGTGACTTCGGTAATAATAGTGCGAATCGATCGCCCAAAAATTTGGGAGATTTTATATTTCATTCATATTGACATACCTTAGTATAAAATGTGTGTGCGAGGCGTGTGCATTTGTGTCCATATGTGAATGGGGATATACACACACAAGGGATATGGGTGGTTATATGTGTTTTATGTAGGTACGAAAATCGCACTAAGATAGTGAAGATAAGTACATAATAAAACCTAGATATAATTAATGTAACAGTTAAAAATAATTAAAAAATCACAGTAGATATTTATGTATCTAACATATATTGAACTAATCTATTTTTATTGAATATATATAGAATACTACACTTTCGTACCTTAGAACCCAAAATATTGTCGCTTTTTACGAAGACATTAATTATTTTTTAATCTTAATTAAAATGACGTACAAAAGTAAGTTTGGTTAAGTGTAACCGTAAAAATTAACTTCGGCCAAGAGATAGCAAATGTTTTATTTTTAAATTCATATATCGATCCAGTTTCATGACTAGATCAAATAACCGGTTAAACAACCGGTTCACGACGCGACGGTCACGACGCGACGGTTGCGTATCGGCTGCTTTGGATAAATATCCGTTGTCATCAGTTGCTTTACATCTATTAATGACATTAAAATAGGGAAAAACATTTCATACGGTAGGCAACACTCGAATATTATTGCGCAGTATTATTACTTGCATTTACATTCAGCTTTCGTATTATTTTATCAAGCAATACACCAGAAAATTGTATATTTACTTATGAAAAGTGATGTTCTTATCCTTATCTTTTTTCAAAGAGTAATTTTTACATGATTTCACAGCACAAACAGTCATTTTGTGAAATTAAAAACACTGGTGCGTGATGTACGTTCGCAGTGAACGTCGCTGGCGTAATGGCGGAACGATCGAACGAATACGCCAATATTGGCGCCTTTTAAATGGAAGCGTTTTAGGCGCGCGTACACGGTATCTGTACCTATTAAACATCTTTGATCTATGGGTTGTTCATGGGCGACGATCGACACTTACCACTCGTTTGCACCTATAGCTCTTCTATAAAAAAAACTCATTGGTAAAGGTGGCTACAATTTGAGGTATTACTTTTCTTGTTTACCATCGTTTTTGCATGTATGTACTAGGTGGATTGAAAAGTACTCGGCCTAACACAGATCCATTCAATTCTAAAAATCAAATCTACCCACATTATTTAGTTCAGTTCAGACTAGTTCATTGTGTGAAGTTCGAAACGTGTGCGATAATTAGTTGTGATTTTATAAATTTATTAACAAAGTAATCGGACATAATTTCCGTGAATGGCGCAAATCGAGCAGCGTGCCGTCATTAAGTACCTCCATAAGAAGGGGCTATCATCAAAAGCCATCCATGATGATATGGTCAGTACATTAGGCGATTGTGCTCTGTCATATTCATCCGTCAAAAAATGGATAGCAGAATTTAAGTGTGAAAGATTGAAAGAGCCGCTCTGGAAGGCCTTCGACGTCAACTACTGACGAAAATATTAAAAAAGTACTTGATTTAATAATGGGAGACCGCAGATTAAAAATTAGAGAGATAGCCGAGATTATAGGCATCTCTTATGAACGAACTCAAAACACCATTGTCAACGAGTTGGGTTTCCACAAGGTGTCTGCGAGGTGGGTTCCGCGACTGCTTTCAGTTGAACAAAAAAGGACGCGATTGACTATTTCACGCGACTGTTTGGAGTTATTTGAAGCCGATGCAGATGATTTTTTGAATCGTTTTGTTACTATGGACGAAACATGGGTTCATTACTGTACACCGGAAACAAAACAACAATCAAAACAGTGGAGAAGACCTGGTTCACCACCCCCTAAAAAAGGCTAAGTCGATTTTGTCGGCAAATAAGGTGATGGCTTCAGTATTCTGGGACTCGAAAGGTGTGATTATGATTGATTATCTTGAAAGGGGTCAGACTATAAACTCTGATTACTACTGCACCTTACTACGTCGTTTACGAGAGGAAATAAAAGAAAAACGTCGAGGAATGCTCAGAAGAAAAGTCCTGTTTCATCAAGATAACGCTCGTGTTCACACGTCAGTACAGTCAATGGCTGAAATTCACAACTGTGGCTTTGAACTGTTACCGCATCCGCCGTATTCACCTGATCTGGCACCATCAGACTTCTTTCTGTTCCCTAATCTAAAAAAGCACTTGGGAGGTCAAAGATTTTCGACAAACGACGAGGTCAAAGCAGCTGTAGACGCATATTTTGACTCTAAGGAAGAATCATTTTTTTTCAACGGTCTAAATGCTTGGAAGGGGAGGTGGCAAAAGTGTATTGAACTTGATGGTGATTATGTAGAAAAATAAAAATATAACTGATTTAGTATGTGTTTATTTTCTTGGTTAGGCCGAGTACTTTTCAATCCGCCCTCGTATGTATGTATGTAGCATGTAATAAATTAATTGAAAATAAATGTTCATTACATTTTTGTTTAAATAGACGAATAGATCGATTAAAACAAAATATACCTAGAATGAAGTTCTAAAGTTGAAATTGGCACTAAAAGGCTGTTCACAGGGGGCTCCACATCAATAATCCATATCAACTACAGACAATATCAAACAAAATCGGCACCTTTTTCTGGAGTCGACCTAAAATAACACATGACTATAAAAACAATGAAATTGTCAGTACACAGATTATCATATAATATTTGAGATATAATATATGTACAATATCTATAGAAATAAAAAAATAATGTCAAAATAACGGATTTTTACTAAATACATATGATGATACGGTTGGACCGATTTTGACGGGACTTTCACGGCAGATAACTGATGTTATAAGGAGTAACTTAGGCTACTTTCATTTTAGAAAAATTATTAAGGTACCGCGCGAAACAAATTTAAACACAAGAAATAAAATCATAATAAAGTCGCGGGTAGGGTTACCATCTGACCGGATAAAGCCGGTCTAGACCGGATTTTTACGTGTTAGACCGGACTCCGCCCGGATTTTACGTCAGACCGGATTTTTGTCATACTTGCATGTCCTCCCACCCGCTCAAGCGACGGGTGCCGCACCTACTCATGCACTGAGCCCGGAACGCAAGCACACCGCACTGAGGGAAATAACGCTATCACCCATTTGAACCGGAATCTAGAGCAAGAGATAGTAGGTGTCGGATGTCCTGATCATATTTTACATAATGCAATACGCCACGCAACCGATTTGTTAGACATTGACGTTGAATCGTTAGTGATGAAAATCTTTAATCATTTTTCGGTATACTCTATAAGAACAGAAAAGCTAAAATAGTTGTGCAGCTACATAGATATAAACTATGAAAAACTCCTTTATCACAGCAAGACAAGATGGCTTAGTCTTTTTCCAGCTATAGAAAGGATTCTCAAACTATACGAGCCATTGAAGGAGTATTTTACAACAACGGAAAAAGTACCTGTTCTGATAAAAAAGTTCTTCGAAAATGAAACTAGTGAGATATATTTGTTCTATCTGCATTCTCTAATGGCTACATTTCACAAAAGGATTGCTTCGCTAGAAAAAGAGAAAAACTCAATCGCCGAAGTCCTCAGTGCATTAAATGGAACGATAGAGTCACTCAATCAAAGAATCGAGCAAAATTTCATTCCTTTGAAAGTACGAGAGCTTTTTCAGAAACACAATATTACCGCAGCTGACCAAACGCAGATAAATAACGAAATAAAACAAATGTACGAAGAATGTATCAACTACATAAACCTTTGGATAACACCCTTACAATCCGTAAAATGCTACGAATGGATGTGTTTAAAGAAGGATCTACAATTTGAAAAAATCACAGATGCTCTAGTGTTTTTGAGGGACAAAGGTATTCCTGTAGATGACGCAAAACTATTTGAAGAGTTCTGCCTGCTTAAGAATTTTCTGACCACAAAACAGAGCGATTTTTATGACGAGCTCGCTGAAAAGCAATGGTGTATCTTTTTAATACAATTAACGACAGCTCAAGAGTTTCAGAATTTCTGAAGATTTGTCAAGATTTCTTTCGTATTTTGCCACACAACGCAAATGTGGAGAGAGTCTTTTCTCTCATGACTTATCAGTGGACCAAAGAGAGAAACAGACTTTCAGTGGAGTCAGTGAGAGCCATATTGCTTACGCAATATAACTATAAACACGTAATGTGTGAACAATTTTATTGCGAAATAGCTGGAAAAAACAACTTTTTGCATGCGATTGCTAGCAACCAAAAATATGGGTCTAAATAATATAAGTAAATAAAAACGTACTTAAATACTATGATTTTTATTTAATGCAGGTGCGTGACCGGACTTTTTTTTTCAAAATCAGGATTTTTAGACATGTCAGACAGGATTTTGCATTTTTGGGCCTGGTAACCCTAGTCGCGGGGAACAGCTAGTTTAATAATATGGCATCAAAAAGAACTCTACGAAATACGTTCTTGTATTTGATATGCCACGCCGCTTCTGGATAGGAACATTGTAGATATCAGAGCTTTTTGGACTGTGATAACATTGTGTGCATAATAAAATTGCTTGTATTAAAATTTATTTTAGATATTTTATTTTATTTTATTGTTGCTTTGGCCCATAGATCTACATCTATCCTCGATTACGAATCAAAATGCAGATGCGTTGTCACCCATGAGGACTAAGATGGAATGCCTCGTTTCCTGTAAAAAGGGTCCCCGGTTCTCTACACTCACCATACGAAACACAGCAGCATTAAGTATTACTATTTTCGCTGGTATTCTGTGAGAGCGTGGTCCTTCCCCGGTCGAGCCGACCCATTCGTGCTACAACTATACTACTAATATAACTGCAGCATGGCTCTACCACGTAAATGTTTATGTATGTTAGGATTATCGATCACACCATTTACCATTTCATTACGAGGCGACTGTGGAATTATCTATGGAAAGGTCTCTCTACGTCTTTCGATAGATGGCGATTAATCATCTGGAATGCGCCAGATATAAAATACCGTAACCTATGACCGGAACAGCGATATTAGTGAGGATATACTTTGTTATACATGAACTAAATGTTTAACCCTTAATTTGATTTCGTTAAGTATACTCAAAACTAGAATAAAAAAAATACGATGTCTTTGTTGGTGGTTTAATTTATTTAGATATTATATAATTCGTAATATTTTGGCAGTAAAAAGTATTTGAATCAGGTAGCAACACTAAATTTGATTTTAACAAGCAAAAATGGCGACCAGGCGTAACATGCTGCGGACTGTACAGGTAATTTTACATTGTTTTTGTGTTAAGTGTCTAAAAATAATAATTATGACAATTGTGTATATTTCTATAATATGTGCTTAATGTTTTATCATCATTTTTTATTCTATAGGTACGCTATGATATATAAACACAATATGTGTGTAATCCAGAATGGTGAGTATACTCAATAAATGATAAATGGTGGGATATGTGGTGGCAGTTTTGTTTGTTAAGACAGTTTAACAATAATAAGCACTTAGGTGTTTTTATTTTACTTGTAATATTTACGCACTACTTCAATTTGCTCTGTTTGATATTCCTTTCTGCGCAATTTTAACTGTGTGCTGTGTATGATACTGTGTGCGATAAAATGCTTGCTTTACTTTTGCTTGCAAAATAAACCCCTTGCCCTTGTACCCCATGAAAACGCTCAATCTGATATAAGTGGGACATCGAACTCTGAGAATGAGCTTGAAGACAAAGTGAACAACGTTTAAAATCTGAGTCATCTGAAGCACCATCAATTGATTCTGCTTTAGAGCGGCTCGATATAGATTTACATTTTACAGCTATCCATAAGTTCTTATCCAACACTTTCTCAAATGTCAAACATACCTTCTGTGACACCATCATTTATGATCAACCAAGTAAGTGACTCTTCTCAACAATCTCCGCATAGTTCTACTTCGACAGATCTTCCAAAACTTCATACTCGAAATGGACGCCGTCACCAAGACTCGATATCTGTTCGATACTTCGTATCGTTATTACAAAGAATAAAGTCAACCTAAAATTTCAATGGTCAAGCGGACGTTTTCGATTTCGCACTGAATTAGAACGCGATATGTTCAAATGTCCTATGCCTGATGGAAAAACAACATTAGATAATTTAAGCGACTTTTATCTAGTGATAAGTCTGACGAAATATGTCACTACACAGCTACGTACCTATTCCATTCAGAAAACAGGCCGATCAATAGATAAATTTGCGCAAATTTATAGCAATTAAAGTACTGACTTTATCAGCATATCGTGTCCATGCTTTCGTATCTGGATGATTGGGCTACTGACACCCTCGCCCCAATGGTTGCTGATGTAATGCCTCCAAAGCGTTATAAAATTAGATGGAGATACTTATATTTTGTAGACAATACAGGTACTGACTCCAATCCATATTTTAAAATAAGACCAGTTGTGAGAGTGGAAGTAGGAGAGGAGACTAGGTTCAGTGTTGATGAAATCGTGATTCCATATTACATTATAGCCCGCGAAAATGCGACTTGGTGGAAATGGGGGAAATTTGGTGCGAGTCACCGTTAACCTAACAGCCTATTAAAGTCATCCGCGGAATATAGTTGCCAGTTGGCACGCTTGGCAAGCGGGTTGGCGGCCAGCAAGTGCATCAGTGATTATTTACGACTTTTTATTTATACTGGTAACAATGGCTTTAACGACTGTAACTTTCCGGAAGAAGCCTTCTTGGCGTAGGTTGGGGGGCCAAGGCCGTTTTGAGGCTTTGTAAAAGCATAAAAAACAAACCTTGTGTCGTCTACTATGACAATTTCTCGGTTCTTTCGTTTCGTTTCTTCGTTGGTACTAATATACATATAACAGAAAAGTTTTTAAAACTCAGGGCAGAGGGGCTTTCAGTCAAACTCTTTGTAACAAAATCAAACTCTCTGTGGTCAAATATAACGACAGTAAATGTGTTGTACTGGCTTCAAGTTACGCAGCCCCATATCCACCAACTAAGGTACGAAGATACTGCAAAATTAGAAAGCAGATAATTGAGGTAAATCATTCTAATGTTGTTATGCATTATAACGCTCATAATATGGGCGGTGTGAACCTGGCGGATATAAATAAAAACCAGGCGCTGGTATCTATCGATTTTTTCACAATTACTTGATATTTGTATTAATAATGCACGGTTGGCCTACCGACGGGATAATAAGAGAATTGAGAGAGATTTTTGAACAGTTTAGGCCAAGTATTTACATGGCATTGCTGAAAACGGAGAACACTGAAGACGCAGCAGTAATGTACAAGATCTTAAGGGGATTATAGTAAGTCAGCTCAAATTCTAATTTCGCCCCCACTTCCCCGCGTGCCGTATGCTATGTACCGACATGTATAAACTACAATAATTAAAAAAGCTGAAGGTACTCCGGGTTTAACAATGACATCGGGACGTCAGTCTCCTCAGTCCCCCGTGACCACGGGTGCTGGAAAGCACCCCAAACGCCGGTAATTAAAAATAAAAATAATTAAAATTAAAATTAAACGCGATACAATTCGTAAAAGTAGTTTTAATCAATAAAACTGTCGATATTTTTTAAAATATCGGATTTTCGACATATCCATAAATAAACTTAATATAATACTCCGATATTAATATATTTATAATGATCGATATATCGAAAATCCAATATTTAAAAAATATCAACAGTTTTAGTTTGAACTGATCAGTTGGAATGATCAGTTGAACTGACCGTGTGTGGTGTCCAATAGAATAGGCACACGACCTCCAGCCAACAAACGTTCCGATGCGGATATGAAACATGTTGAAGACTTTATTAACAAATTATCTGCCTACAAAAGTCATTACTCAAGACGTCATACGACAGAAAGTATTTACACCAGGGTTTAAATATGATATTATTGTACGACCTGTACAAACATGTTACAAAGAACAACAGTGTGGTACAACATTTGCGCCCAGTGAGCTGCAGTTTATTTCAGAAAGTATTTAAGGGGATATAGGTAGTAACTCAGCTCAAATTTTAATTTCGCCCCCACTTCCCCGCGCGTCGTATGCTATGTACCGACATGTTTGTAATCACTAATACTGTAAGTAGATAGGTGGTTAGATACTTATTTCATTAGGTTTATCATATTTGTGCCTGTTTCTTAACGCCAACCCAGTCGCTTCTTATTTTATCACGGTTATTTCCCATTTTAATTTTACGTCCTCCTGTTGCGTAATGTGTATTCCGATCGTAAGCGGCACAACTTCTCCCTTCAAAAGCCTAAGCGATACTAACGGACGGGGCGACAGGAATCAATTATCATTATCAAGCTTCAAGACGCCTATAGTTTAGGTAATTTCATTTTGCAGTGAAAATAATGGTATTTTAAAAAAAGTAAATAACATAAGCACTGCTTTATAGTTAGTTCAGTTAGTATGCAAAGTTTCATGATCTTATTTAAAGTATTTTATGAATAACAGCGGTTTATTGTTCAGTTTGGAGGTAACTTTGGATTTTTTTTCTATCGAGAAAATTTTACGGAATCGTGTTTTCGTCTAACATAGCCCTTAACATCAATCCTCAAATTTACTATATATTTATTTCAAAATTAATGCTGCACTACTTTCGGCATAACGGAGGATCTTGCTAAGCCATTTGAGGTTATATTTCCCCTTAATTAAAAAAGTAGATGATGTTAGGTTCGATAATATCGACTTTTTCCCAGAACGTGGAAAGGCCGATGTGCTTATTACAAAATGATTTACCACTGTTTCTGCGTAAAGTGTAACATCAGACTACTCTTTGCATCAGACTGCTTTGTCACAGATCGCAATGAGAGCATCCACAACTTTTTCTACCACCAGGGCGGCGCCACTTACAATGAGTTGTAATATTTGACAGATTTCATAGTGGGGAAGTAAATTTGTTAAAATAAGATTAAAAATAAATAAACCAAACCACAGATATTCAAAAAAATATAAAAATTAACAAGATTATTAAAAACGGGCAAACAATTAAAAAACAAACCAGGAAAGCATTGTTTTGTGTATTAATATAATACTCTAGAAACTGATAAACTTTTATTAAAAACTAAATTATCAATTAAATAACATTGTGTAACAATAAAACTATACCTCAGTGTCAACTAGCGACATCTGGTGAGCGTAAGATTATTTGCCCTCGTTGTCATTGTAATTAAACCACCACCATAGGAAGCGTGTCCATTTGTTATAATTTTTTAAATAAACATTATTTTTTTATTAAATTATGTTTGATCTTGCAGTATCCTAAGCGAGATTTGTTAAGAATACTCAATGCTTATAACACGATTTTTTTTGTAGGAACATTGATTATTGTTAAATAATATTATTAGCATGACTTAGCTTTTCTTGCCAAAAAGAGCCTTAAATAAACAAATAAAAATAAATAAATTCAAAAGTGTATAAAAAGGGTTATTATATTATAAATGAATACATGGTTGATAATAAACCCTGGGAATAAGGTAGGCGCTTCCAATCTGTTTATAAAATAAATTTTGTAAATAGTTTTTTTTTTTAATTTTTATTATTTTAACCTTGATTCTAAAGAAATATATATCTATAGTAAAAAGCTATATGTTTTAAGCTTTCGAGAATAGGCCATTTTTAGAATTGACCAAAGCCATTTTATTTATGAATTATTTATTATTCGTCTGAGGAATCTGTTACATAATTTCTCGATAATCTTTTCTAGGAAATAGATCATTTATTTTTAAATTAAGAAAATAATATATGTACGTATTTTAAAAATAACAATACGAAAATATGTTGGTGTATAATATTTTCCAAATAAGAAAACAAAAATATAAATATATTTTAAAAATGAGAATATTTTAAAAATACGAGTACAAAGAACGTGCGTTCCATGGGATTTGAACTGCCAATCACCACGGTAACGCCGCGCGATTGCACAGCGGCGCGTTGGGCCAAACAAACATTACGACTCGGTTGCGAAATTACGCACTTATATGTAATAGACGTCGCGCATCGGCGAGATTCGTCAGTGTACCCTGCAGTGGGCGTGACTACTCGTGCGACTTCACCCCCTCAAAGACAAGAAAGTCGTCTGTTCACCGCGTCTTAAAATGTGATATCAGAAACTTATAAATAGTTTACTTAAAAAAGCATAATTAAAATCATTACAATGAAAGTCGGTGTTGTTCTTACATTTGTATTTTTATCAACAGATGGCGTCAGTAGTATTCTACACCACGTTATTGTTATGCTGGTCAACGACGTACCTAGTGGATACGGCAGATGAGTACGTAAATACCCAGACTGGAAACGAGGCATTCTATTTATATTTTTTCTAGAGTTCCAATCGATTAAAACTGTTGGAATCTCATAATTACTAATTAGTGATTACGTGTCTATCTGCCGCACTCAGAGACGTTTAAGATTACTTAAGCCGTCACTAAGTAAAGATTTAAAAAATTTGACTCTCAGAGTGAGTTAATGATTCATTAGTAGGCCTAAGGAACCGTTAACTTTAAGTAACGCTCTACCCATACCCATACTTAACTTCGTAATGAATGATTTTGACAGGTCAATTTGTGAGGTTATGTGTGAATGCGTAGTTGTTTTCAAGGATTTGTTTATTATAATCAAATTGTGATATTTTGAGAAAATGTCAGATTATGAAGAGTTTATTGATTTTGTGGACTATACAAGATTTAGAAAAAGAGGACCAGGACGTCAATCGCGTGATTGTTCGGATCCATTTCAGAAGTATACTGTTCAGGAATTTTACTCACAATATCGGTTTATCCCTCACGCAATAAAAAATACCATTATGCCAATATTAGAACCACATATTAAAAAACCTAGCAACAAAGGTCTGCCGTTTGCTCCAGAAATAATGATTCTCGTTACATTGAGATACTATACAAAACTGTGTGTATAACACAGTGTTTTATAAATTATTGCTGCACAACCCGGTCACTATATCTGTACACATCACTATGTTTTTAGCAAGGTGCACAGATACAGGATATACTCATATGACTGAATTAAATAAATCGATCACTTACTTGCAGTAACTAGACGGAGACGTCATGAACGTATTCCAACAGTCAATATCAAGAATTATAACTACTGTGTCTAATTCAATAGCATTACAAATGAAAATGTTTGTAAAATTTCTATCTACAGTGGAAGATATCAATCAAGTAAAGTATGTTCATGATACAAACATATATATTCCAGTAATAAGGATATCCGGTTCTCTACACTCACCACACGAAACACATCAGCAGAGCCTTAAGCTACTATTTTATACTGGTATTCTGTGACAGTGTGGTCTTTCCCCGGTCGAGCCGACCCATTTGTGCTACAACTATACTACTAATATAACTGCAGCATGGCTCTACTATACTAAAATAAAGATACAAACAAGGTTAAAATAAAACACAATTCAACTAATCACTGGTTTTATTTTGTAGTGTTTATTAAAATCTCCAATTCTAATGTAGCTTTTTCCAAAAGTATTTTATTTTTCTGTAATTCTAGCTCTGCAGCCTGTTTTTTTTATTTCTTGGGTAGCCAACTGTAAAAGAAAATAATATATATATTAGTTTATAGTTAGTTATTGAAACTACATATTACAGCTATATACAGGTATTTGGATGACTAATCTTTATTTAGGTTACATGTTCTGTTTCTAGGGGGACAGTAGATGAAATTAAAACCGCTGGGATCTGATAGTAATATGATATCAATTACTTGACTGAGCTATAGAGATATATTTAAAGTCAACTATTTATTTATTTTCAGCTAAAATTATACATTAAATATATGAATATATCTGCTAAAAAAGAAAATAACCTATTAAATGAAATAAAACTAACAAACTAAAATAAAAACCTGATGTGAGTTTGCTGTATGCTGGCTTAAAGGTAGCTAGTAAAGTATTATACTGTATACCTTTGAATTTAATAATTTTTCCTCCAGTCGTTTTTTTACTTCCAAATTTTTTAATCTTAGAACACCTCTTCTCACATAATCGGCAGGCTTTCGAGGAACACAATCATCATCATCATCATCATCATCATTACAGCCCTTCACAAGTCCACTGCTGAACATAGGCCTCCCCCAAGTAATGCCACAAAGCACGGTCCTGAGCCACCTGCATCCATCGACTTCCTGCATGTCTTACCAGGTCGTCACTCCATCTAGTGGGGGGTCGCCCTACACTACGCCTACCGGTACGAGGCTGCCACTCGAGAACCTTTCTTCCCCATCGGTTATCGGTTCTTCGAGCTATATGGCCGGCCCATTGCCACTTCAGCTTACTAATCCGTTGGGCTATGTCGGTCACTCTGGTTTTACTGCGGATATCCTCATTTCTGAGTCTATCACGCAGAGAAACTCCGAGCATAGCCCTCTCCATAGCTCGCTGAGCGACCTTAAGCGTCCTCATACGGCCAGCAGTGAAGGACCACGTCTCAGATCCGTAAGTCATCACTGGCAACACGCACTGGTTGTACAATCTAGTTTTTAGAGATTGAGGTATACCTGACGAAAAGATATGCCGTAATTTCCCGAACGCTGCCCAGCCGAGTTGAATCCGTCGATTGACCTCTCGGTCGAAGTTGGACTTACCTAGTCGGACTATTTGTCCCAGGTAAACGTATTCGTCAACAACTTCGAGCATAGTGCTCCCAACAACTACCGGCATAGGTGTGACATGGACATTGAACATGATCTTTGTTTTGTCCATGTTCATCTTAAGACCTATCCGTTGGGAGGCACTATTGAGGTCATTGAGCATATTGCTTAAGTCCTCCAGCGATTCTGCCATAAGGACTATATCATCGGCAAATCGAAGGTGAGTGATGTACTCGCCATTGATGTTAATACCGTATCCTTTCCAGTCCAGTAGCTTGAAAACGTCTTCCAATGCAGCGGTGAAGAGTTTCGGGGATATAACGTCACCCTGTCTTACACCTCTCTGCAGTTGGATAGGTTTCGAGCTCTGGTTCTGTACTCGGATAGCCATCGTAGCCCTACTGTACAAACACTTCAGCACTTCGATATACCGACAGTCAACTTGGCACCGCTGAAGGGACTGTAGCACCGCCCAAATTTCGACGGAATCAAAGGCTTTCTCATAGTCCACATACGCCAGGCAAAGTGGCAGATTGTACTCTTCAGTCTTCTGTACAATCTGCCGCAGGGTATGTATGTGGTCTATGGTACTGAAGCCTTTTCGGAAGCCGGCTTGTTCGGGAGGCTGGAAGTCGTCAAGTCTGCGTGCGAGACGATTCGTAATGACTCTCGAAAACAGCACGTAGACGCGGCTCAGAAGGGAAATCGGTCTGTAGTTCTTTAAGAGAGCGTTGTCGCCTTTCTTAAAGAACAAGACCACCGCACTTCTGCTCCACGCCTCTGGAGTAGTGCCACCATGGAGGACGGAATTGAAGAGCTTCTGAAGGACTTCAAGTACCGGTGTTCCACCCGCTTTCAGAAGCTCCGCTGTAATTCCATCCTCGCCTGGGGCCCTGCCGTTTTTAAGGTGCTGGAGAGCCATTCTAATCTCGCTTAGACTGACGTCCGGGATATCATCGGAATAGGAAACACAATCAGAACACAATCAGTTTGGCTGAATAGAATGTTGTATTGATCTTGAGTTGCTGATGAAAAAATATGTGTTAAAACATGTAAAATACACACAAACAGTATTTTACACATTAACTATTGAATTGAAGTTTTTTCTTTATATATTACCTGTGTTATTTGTAACTTGAGTTGGCAGTTCAGTGGTGAGCATATTTTCAGACTCTGTAAGGTGATTTTTGTCTGGTTCATTGTCATCTGAAATAATCAAGTTATGTCACATTATACACTATTAAGTTAAGCATATAAGGATAATAGAACTGTAGTATTGGAATCCTAGCACCTAGCTCTTTAGCTTTTTGGTAGATATTTTAAAGAGATCGTTTTAATTAAGAGAGAGTGTAGATGATTTGGGTCATATTTTTATAAATGAAATATAAAGTTATAATGTAACACACCTATTTTGCAATCACTGGATTTCACTTCCTCCTCTCCAAGTGAACTTAATAGGTATCCATCACTGTCATACGAATTTTTAACTTCACAAATTATAACAGGTGCTGCCTGAAAACAATAATAATGTAACAGAAAAGCTGCTAATGCTTTATTTTTAAACAAAATTTGGAATTATACCTACTTCTTCTACCATGCTTATAATGGCTCCTTGGTGTGGTGGTGTAAGTTCAGAAGGTCCCCCTCTAGTTTTAAATAAACTACCACGTTCAGCTGCACGAGCTTTAAGTGTAAAAGCCTTCATATTATCCCATGCCCTCTATAAATTAATGGTATCACGCTGGAAGTAAATATTATTTTCATTTAGTAAGGTACAAGAACATAACAAACAACACATCTTAGTAATTTATAGGAACCAAGGATCCAGATAGCTTAAAAAATAATTAAAGAAAGTGTAAGTTTATGTACCCTGTGAACATAAACTTGGTAATTAAACTCTTGCGTTATGGACTCCCATGCAGATTTCTCTTTTTCGACTGACCTGCCGTCAGTTGCTTTCGACTCCACAATTGGTTTACTCTTTATTAAGGCTGCTAATAGGGCCTTTTCATCGCTGGTGAAATTAGGCACTCTAGAGCGTGGTGTTTTCGGCAGTCCATCCTAAAAAGTAAACGCACTTTAATTTTATTAATTAATCTCGTCTGGTATAAAAAGCGCAATTTAGTGTACCTAGTTTAACTACTTACCATATTTTACTAGTCACTTGTTATCTATCCAACTTATAATATGTTGGATATGGTGCGCGGGTACGGTTGACATAAAAGATTGGGGTCACAGAATACACCACGAGAATCCTATACTACAACGAAACTCGAGAATCCTATACTACCACGAAATTAACAACATATGAACACGATACGAAACAAATAACAAAGCTCTGGTAAATGCTATAAAGTTTGTTTGACAATACCATTAACGTTTATTTTACTCCTGTCTTAACATCTGTTATCTAGTGTCACTTGCCACAGTAAAAAATAAATTTGTAATTTCAGTTATTATGGTGATGTGTACGGTTTGAAAATACTTTTTATATTTTATGTACTATAGAAAGCCACACTGAAGTGTTTAGTAATATGTATTAATACGTTTGCATAGAATAAAGACGGAAAACTATTATTTCCGTAAACCAATTTTTTTACATAGCAACCCTTACGATTTATCGACATCTATCGATGTTGCTTAGTACGACCACATGCATCCTGTAACTGATTAGCTAATGAACCATTAAATTTAGTCTCTGGGACGCATCACTCATTAACGAAGATAATGGTAATTTGTTAAGTATTCATTAGGGCTAATTTAATGAAGCTCTCTGAGTGCGGCAGTATGTAAATATTCAGCACAAATGAAATCTATAAACTCCATGGGATGGGGCTCGGGCCTCTGGGTATATGACAATTGACAATGATGAATAAGTATTTGAGTAGAGACACAATTATATACCTTACCTATATATATAGGAATTTAGAAACATATTATATACATATTTTTATACTGTGTCAGAGATAAGCGATGGGTCGTCGACGTATTTTTTGTTGTTAACGAAACCAGATTACTAGACCATTTGATTATATACAGGTATATAATCAAAGACCAGACCGTCCATTTTCGTTCATCGACTAGTCGACCAACGGTTTAATACGTCAACGTGGTTTTGCAGACGTTTAAAAAGACTCCGCGACGTCTTCTATGGATCGGCCATGATGTATAGTCACATCTATTTTATTTTGAATTTCTCTTCATACTTTTCCAGGCTAACGACTGGCTGCATAGTGTTAAATATAAAGTCGTATTCACTATTCCGACGTATTTAGAATATCAACTGATTTTATGCACATAAATTTTTTTGATGCAAGATTTTAGTGATATTTTAATTTAAAACCTCAAATTTCAAATTTGCGCTTAGTTATTTGTGTTATTTTAACGAACATAATGAACTAAAGTTATCCGACCACGTTCTCAAGTCGGTCGTCGTGATGCTAGTCGAAATGAACGTTATGTAGTTTCAATTGTGCCGTTTAAATTTAAAGATTGGACTGGTCCATTGATTGTTCGTAAACCGTCTACTCTACCCGTTCACGGTACGTCGACGGTCGAATTAACTAGCATATGAGTACAAGAGCACCACTGCACCAACATTTTAATATCGTGTGTTAGAAAGAGAGAGGGAGTGAAGTTGTCACTGAGGCTCGACGTATATTTTTGCTACCGGTATTAAATGGTCCAGTGATTTGTGATTGTAATACATTTCGGCAATTTCTTACGTGAATTATAGTGACAACTGATAACTTTGAGTACAATATTACGATGGTTTCCTGTTCTGTACCAGGATGTGATTTTTCCAAAAGGAATAATCCCCAGCATTACTTAGTTACTCATTTCACCTACTGTTCGCGACGGCCTAACAACCTTAAGAAACGAAGTGATAAAGAATATTGTTTTATGTATTAATAGTGAAATTACCAAGAAAACTGACTAAAAATGTGTATTAATATAGTTATTTAGCATATTTATAACTCTCAATATGTTTGTATAGAATGTCGTTTTGATAACAAGTAATATAAACAACTTTTATTATATACCAAAAAATCGACCAATCACAGCGCGTCTTATCGTGGAACTCTCTAGAAGTTTTTAATTAACTGCGTAATAGATCATACTAAAAATAATGAAAATAATTTTATGTCCTAAAAGAGTTATAAATATGACATTTAATTAGCATATGGCTTATAGATGAAAGAAGTATAGGAATATTTTTGTATAATTAAACGCATTTCGTATTTATAGAAAAATTAAAGAATTAAAATGCCCAAATATTACGAAAATTTGGGACATTTCGTTTAATAACTTTTTACAATGTTAATGTTTTTATTAACCTTTATGATATACTAATAAAGTACCAGACTACCGATTTAATGATGTATAGCATGTTAGTGTAGCAATTAGTATTGTATAGAAAATATTGCAATTTATGTCATTTGTATAGTGAAATGTTTATGCAATAAAGAGGCAAATGGAAAATGGCAAGCGGCTCACTGCAAAGTATTGCTCAAGTCTACCTTAGGGGCTCGGGGCCCAGTATCCGTAGTAGTGTGAAGAACTACCAGTGACTAGTGAAGTGAAGTGAGTGGTATCCGGTGGTAGCTGAAGTGACTAGTAGCAGTATATAGTGAATAGTGATAGTGTTAGCTAGCCGAAAAAAGGTTGTAACTGACATTCGCAGTTACATAGTGAAAGTGTTAGCTAGCCTAAAAAAGGTCGTAACTGACATTCGCAGTTACATAGTGAAAGTGTTACCTAGCCTAAAAAGGTCGTAACTGACATTCGCAGTTACATAGTGAAAGTGTTAGCTAGCCTAAAAAAGGTCGTAACTGATATTCGCAGTTACATATAGTGAAAGTGGTAACTGATATCCGCAGTTACACAAGTGATAAAATCAACTAGTTTAGTTGATAATAGCTGCTAGTCAGTAGTGTTAGAAAACCAGCTACTACCAATAGATATTTGATACCACCGTACAATTTAAAGAAATCTTTTGAAATATACAGTGAACAACCGTAGTTTAACAACCGTGATAAATAGTTATAAAATTTCGTGACTAATCAATCAGTCGAACCGTTGGCCACTACCTTGCTATTTGTATTTGTTAATCGTGCATTTTGATTTTAACTACAGTCCACAATATTTCAGCGGCACCAACAAAGACGGCGGTGAGAGTACCCACCGGAACCTATAGGTGTAGGACGTGAGCGACTCGCGAAGTATCTTCGACAACATTTACTCCGGAGAGTTTCGCCCGTCCGGCACATTCGTTGGTCCTTCGAGCCGGATATATCCGTTTGTATTTCGGAACCGGGTAAATAGTCACCACCGTATTAAAACCGCAGAATTTTCAGATTCAAGATGCCGATCACCCGTTCGCAAGGAAGGGCAGCCAAGGCGTGGACCGTCGGTCTGGAAGGAGGTTCGTCGGCCAGTAACGCCGCCGTCCACCACCAGATGCCACCACGCTCACCGTCAACAATAGAGGGCGCTGAGGCGCCATGCTGCCCCCCCGAGGGGGGGATACCCCTGCCCGCGCCGTCCACTACGGCCCGCACAACGAAGCAGAGGGAACATATAGAAGGCAACGATGACTTTAGACGTGCATCATCGCCACCAGCCCGGGAAGACACCCACTCCGAAGAGCCACCGAGGGGCCACACCGTTTGCAGTACGAAGTCTAAGAAGACTGTTCGGCCCAATAGAAGAATTTTGAAGGCTCGTGAAGAAGTATTGAAGATCAAACTAGAACTTGCGCAGATCTCCTTGCAGATGGCTGTGGAAGAAGACGAATCAGACGACTATGATGAAGATTGTCACTCCAAAAGTGAGTACGTTCGATCTTGGCTCGAAAACTCTGTAGCCAAACAAAAGTCAAATCAAGGCGCAATCACCGGAGGGAGGGCACCATTTACCGTCACAAAGCCGACCCCGGACGTTGTCGACCTCAGTGAGCCCCAAAAAGAGCTCACGAACCAGGATTCCTATCCAGAAGATGTACAAAAGCATCCCATGCCACAGAAGATCAGCCAGGAACCCACCGTTTATGAAGACAGGGGGCTCCTACCGAATGTATCAGAGCTCACATACCAGGATTCCTATCCAGCAAATGTACCCAAGGATCTCATGCCTAAGAAACCTAGCCAGGAACCTGTCATAAGTGAAGACAGGGGGCTCCGTCCGTTTATATCGGAGCTCACATCCGCTATAGCCGCGCTCGCTGACAAACCAAAGTTAGAGAGTGCGCCACTATCGTCGCATACTTTCGCAGCGTCGAAAGCTATAATGACACTGCCAAGCTTTAGCGGAGCACATACCGAGTGGCTTTCATTCCGTGCCATTTATGAAACAACCCGAGGCTACTTCAATGATATTGAAAACACTGCTAGACTAAGACGAAGTCTACAAGGAAGAGCCTTGGAAACAGTCAGTTCAGAACTCATCGGGCATGCTAAGCCAGATGAGATTATGCGAGAACTGGAGCTACAATTTGGGCGTCCAGATTCAATCGCGCAAGCAGAAACCGAGAAATTACGAGAAGTTACGAGGATTAGCACGCTGTACAGAATCACCCAGAGACATCTGCACATTCGC